GTCCCAAACAAGTGATCGCCTGAAGCCCGAACGTAACCCACGCGGACCTTGCGAGTCGGCGGGTCGGATCGGCAGAAAATCCGATTTCAGCCTCTTCGACATCGTCCCCCGGAGAGAGAGAGAGAGAGAGAGAGAGAGAGAGAGAGAGAGAGAGAGAGAGAGAGAGAGAGAGAGAGAGAGATAGAGAGAGAGAGAGAGAGAGAGAGAGAGAGAGAGAGAGAGAGAGAGAGAGAGTAGCTTGGTGTGAAGGTGTATGGAGAGGGAGAGGGAGGAAGAGAGGGTAGGGAGGGAGGGAGGGAGGGAGGGAGGGAGAGAGAGGGAGAGAGAGAGAGAGAGAGAGAGAGAGAGAGAGAGAGAGAGAGAGAGAGAGAGAGAGAGAGAGAGAGAGAGAGAGTGAGTGTGTGTGTAGCTTGGTGTGAAGGTGTATGGAGAGAGAGGGAGGGAGGGAGGGAGGGAGGGAGGGGGAGGGAGGGAGAGGGAGGGAGAGGGAGGGAGAGGGAGAGGGAGAGGAGAGGGAGAGAGAGAGAGAAGAGGGAGAGGGAGAGGAAGAGAGAGAGAGAGAGAGAGAGAGAGAGAGAGAGAGAGAGAGAGAGAGAGAGAGAGAGAGAGAGAGAGAGAGAGAGAGAGAGAGAGAGAGAGATGCCACAGTGATTAAGCGCGTGAACTCTTTTGTCTGGTTGTGTGTAGGGCGGGGAGGAGAAGGAGGGAGTTGAGATGGATGTGAGTGGGGGGGGGGGGGGAGAGGCATTGTGTGATACAGTGTAGTTTGGTGTGAAGCTGTATGTTTTTTTTGTTTGTTTGTTTGTTAGATATAGCTTGGTATGGTATTGTGGTATGGCATGGCATAGTATAGCATAGCATGGTGTGGCATGGCATGGCATAGCATAACATGGCACATCAAGGTATGACTTGGCATGGTAGGGTATGGCATGATATGGTAGAGTAGGACAGGATAGGGTATGCTTCACTCTACTCTAGTCTAATCTGGTATGATGAGGTATGATATAGTGGTGTGATAATCAAACGCGTTCTGATATGATGTGATGCATACGAGTACAGTTTAGCTTTGTTCGCGGTGGCGGAGTGGAGTATGTGGTACGAAGCGGTGTGGTAGAGTGACATGAGGTGTGAGTCGCATGGTGTCATCTGATGTCATGCGCTTTCAATCAACGTGATGTGATGCATTGCGGCAAAATAAGAAGCCAGGAGGTATGCGTTTTAGCAGGAGGGAGTGGACGGAGGGAGGATGGATGGGTGGGTTGATGGATGGATGGTTGGGTGGACGGATGGTTGGGTGGATGGATGGATGGAGGAAAATGGAGGGAGGGTGGAAAGAAGGAAGGAAGGAAGGAAGGAAGGAAGGAAGGAAGGAAGGGGGGAGGGAAGGAAGGAAGGAAGGAAGGAAGGAAGGAAGGAAGGAAGGGGGGAGGGAAGGAAGGAAGGAAGGAAGGGAGGAAGGAAAAGAGGAAGGAAAAAATTAAGGATAGACGGGAGGGAGGAAGGATGGATAAATAGGTAGGAAGGTAGGTAGAGAGATAGACAGATGGATGAATGAGTACGTGTATCCCTTTCGGAGAGCTTCATGGCAGGAGTAGCTCTATCTTAAGCTCCTCCCGACACCCGACACTGCGTGGCTGCGGCTTCTCGTCCCCGACTTAGTCAAGTTACTACGCTTCGCACCCCCCCCCCTCTCCCTCTTAATCGCTTCCCCGCCCCTCCTGCCCCTCCCCTTCCCTCCTTTCCTCGAATCCCAATTCCCTTTTTTCCCTTCCCTTCCTTCTTCCTTCTCCTGTCCCTCCCTTACCCTCCTCCCTCTGTGTCCCTTCTCTTCCCTCCTTCCCCTCCTGTTCTTCCCCTTCCTTCCTTCTCCTGTGTCTCTCCTTATCTCCTCCTCCCGTCCCTCCCCTTCCCTACTCCCTTTTCCATCTCCTGTCCCTTCCTTCTTCCGCTTCCCTCCTCCCCTTTCCTCCACCTTCCTATCCCTTCTCCTCCCCCCTCCCCCTCCTGCCCTTACTATTCCTCCCCTCCGCTTCCATCCACTTTCCTATTCCTCCCTTCCGTCTCCCTGTTCTCCCTCGTGTCCCTCCTCCCTTCCCTCCTCTCCCTTCCCCCCCTCCCTTCCCTCCGCCCTCGCCCTTACCCCTCTGAGAGCCTATCCACCGCCGGGGCATTCAGCACACACACACACCACCACCACCATTATACAACACAGCACAGGACATGGGCGATAGGCCGCGGGACCACCCTACAAGTGGATTATGTGTGGAGATGGCACTATACTGTGGCACACAATTCATGCGGGCTGGCACTCGGGGTTCTCCATCCCCGTCATACTCTCGCACTTCAGCCAGAGGGCCGGGGACTTCCACTGGGTGACTGCTTGTAATTTGGGTGTAATTGTAAAAGGCCAAAAACACATCCTGTCGTTTTATTCACGACTAATGATATGTTTTCACATTTAGCCACGTGACTTTAACCTATGAATAAATTTTACAATCAAATACAAAATCTACATAATGTGACTGTTACTTGGGTTAAAAACCTAACTCACAAAAAATGCATACACAATAATAATAATAATAATAATAATGATAATAATAATAATAATAATAATAATAATAATGATTATTGATGATGATGATGATGATGATGATGATGATGATGATGACGATGATGATGATGATGATGATGACGATGAGGATGACGACGACGATGACAATAACGATGATGAAGATGAAGATGAAGATGACG